ATTATATATATAATATATATTACATATTTGCTACAACGACAACATAATCGAAAAATTGTTATTTTTTTATTTCTGCTTGTAAAAAAGAAATGGAAACATATAAAGCAGAAAAATGTACTTTTTTATCACTCTATAATTAATTATTATATCAAAATTGCATTAAATTTTAGAATAAAAAAATATCAATTTGATCCCTACATTCCTCCTCTCTGTCTCTTTCTCTTGCAAAATATAAATAAAGAATCTTAAGAGTATTTATTAATCTAATATGATTGCTTTAGAGCGAACGCATACTCGACAGAAATGATTTCAATATTTATCTGAAGAAGGAACTTTATCAAGTTACCGATAGCATCAAAGCACGCGGCGTGATTTACAGTTTACTACACCTATCAAAAGAGCAGAAATGCAAAGGTGTCATAACAATCTCAACGGGCAGCTTTGCATTTATTCTCTGTCATTATACACATCGATATAACATACCGATAACGGTGGTGTTGCCGACAACAACGATAGAAGAAAAAATCAAGATCTGTCAAAGATATCCATTATCACGAGTGATTGTCAGAGGTGATACTTTACTAGAAGCTCATCGTACCGCTTTAGATATCGCCATGAGAGAAGACTTATTTTATTTTGATGGGTATTCTTCTTTAACAAAATCTTATGAAAATTTGATTGGACGCATTAATTGCTTACTAGTGCGTATTAAATCATCATACACAAATTCCCAATCAGCATACAATAAAAAAATATTTAACACATATTTTTTAAATATTGTGTGTTGATTAAGTTGACATAAAGATGTGTTATATAAATATAAAACAGGTTAAATTGTGAAATTCTTAATATGCGTTAAAATTTATGTTATTAAGTAAAATATGTTTTTTAACATTGAAAATATTTAAATTTTATTTTTATGTTCAGATTAAGTCAGTACGCAACGGCATTAATATGCGCTACTAGTGCATCCCATCGAATTCGATATTCGTAATAAATAAAAATATTTTTTCGTTAAAAAATAAATTTTCATCAATATTCAAATATCAAATTAACTAATTTTTGAGTGATAAATTACAAGCATACAGAAAATAGATACATAATATTGATAAAAATATTTCTTAACGAAAAGGTACTTTTACTTAATTAATATGATAATAGAAGGACATTAATTAATAGTTTTTTTATCATATTTCATTATTGCTACAAAGGATACACTCATTTCGTTAAAAATAAGTGAATTATTTAATATTTCTTCGATAGGAACGATCATCCAAACATGCTTATTGGTCAAGCCACCTTGGGCATAGAAATCATGGAACAACAAATTGATGTGGTACTTTTGCCAACGGCAATTGAAGGTTGCGGATTAACAACAGCTATTGCAATAGCTATTAAAGGGTGCAATTCAAAAATAACAGTTATTGTAAGTTAATAGTTCTTCTATATATATATAATTTATCCATTACTGTTTCACTAATTAGTATATATTAAGAAAAAGATTGTATGCACTTAAATAAATTATTTGAATTATAATCTTAATTCTTAGGAAGTTCGTGGTACAAATTCTGATTTATTCCAAGAGGTGAAAAAACAAACGGATTCACCTAAAGAATTGAATATTCCTACGAAAGAGTATGTAGCATGTCCTTTAAGAAATATGCCGCATTGCGTGATCGACAGGTTTATTTCGGTAACTCCAGAATTGATTCATTCTGCATCCATACAACTGCACAAATCTGAATGTTACTATGATTGTTATGGAGCAATTGCTTTAGCTGCAATTTTATCTGGTCAGCTTGATGATCTACAGGGAAAAAGGTGATTTCTTTTATAAATTCGATAATTTTTTTCGAATTTATTAATTTATTAATTCCGTAGCAAAGCGTTTTATAATCATAATGTATGCACTATATGCAATTTAAGTTTCAATTTAATAATATTTTATAAAATGACATTATGATTTTTTTGGTACGCGCTAGGATAGTAATACCTTTATACGGTAGAATGGATTTGAGTGAAGAAGATTTTACAATAAATAGATGTATCTTTAGACAATGTCATCTCGAGCTCATTACGCGATCCGTACCTCTCTGGATTTAATTTTGAAGAAATCTGACAGAAGAAAACTGAATTATAAAGAAAATTGTGTATCTATCATAAACAGATAAAATCAGAACTATAGAACAAGTCACACACAGCTCGAAAAAAATTGAATCAAAATTATGAAAAAGACGATGTTTCTAAATTGGAGACTGAATAACGAAATAATTTTATCAACAATATCCCATATCGATATATCAGATATAATATTGAAAAAAATTCAATATAATCAGATATAATATTGAAAATTTTCAATTATATCACAATAATGGACGTCATATGCGTATTAAAAAAATTTTTAAATCTATATATTGTAAATTGTTTTTTTTAATGTGTATAAACATGATTTTTATTACGCGAATACTTATCAGTTTTGATGTCTAGAAAAATTGTAGTCAACTAAAGGCATACTTAGCAAACAAAAAAATCATAATAGATATGACATACTTCTCAACTTGATCATATCAATCGATTTTTAAATATTAACTGTACCATTTAATTTAATATAAATGTTATTTCAATCGTTTTAAAATTAGATTCGAATTAAAATATAATCTCGGGAAAAAATTTTAATATAAGATATATCTTCTGTGGCTGAACTTTTTTTTTAGAAGACAATTTCCCGGAATCTGACCGGATTGAAAAAAAAAAACATGTAGGAAAAAAATTGTAATTTTGCAATACTGTTTAAGATAATTTAACATTAGGAATATGCATATTTATTTCTAGAATATTTATATAATAAAAAATCAATAATTTAATGATATAAAATTTCAACCGGATATATTCTCGGATACTATAATGATATCCGACTATTCGATCAGATAGTAAAAAAGTGCCGGATAATACTAGATACCGGATACTTTTCGGATATCCGGCGCATCCCTAAATTATATAATTATATATGATTAGACATATGTATATATTATATATATTAGATACATATTATATATATAATTATATATATTATTTACGTATA